CAAAAAACTTCCTGTTCAATGTACATGAAAAAAAATATTTGCTGACTCACCTTTGTATCACTGCCTGGAGTGGCACTAAGCGCTAAAATCCGAAACTGCCTAGTATAGTTGCTCAGCTCCCGAACAACCTGGATAAGAGGGAAATACAAAATTATGCGATGCAGAACTGCACAATTCTGAAGCAATAATAATAATAATAATAATAATTAGAATAGAATGAATATAGCCAGCTTTCGATATTCGAATTTTGAAAAGAAAAAAAAAAAAAAAAAAAACAGAATACATTAGAATCGAAGAGAAAAGAACAGAATAAATTAGAATAGAACGGGGCATTTTTTGCGATTTATCTCTGCACTACTTTAACTGGTAATTGCGCAGTCATGCAGCCAAACAAAATTTGTATCTTTTTTTCACACAGATAGAGCTTTATTTTGGTGGTATTTGCTCACCACTGGGTTTATAATTTTTTTGTGATATGAACGTAAAAAAAAAGACAGAAAATTTTGAATAAAAATATATTTTACTTCCTGTTCTAAAACATATCCATTAAAAAAAATGTTTAAGTCAAATTTCTTCATAAATTTAGGCCAAAATGTATTCTGCTACATCTTTGATACATAAAAAATTCCAATAAGTGTATATTGATTGGTTTGCATGAAAGTTATAGCGCATACAAACTATGGTATATATATACTGGATTTTTTTTTATTTTTTTTTAATTTTTTTTTTAATACTAATGGCGGCAGTCAGCAACTTATAATGGGACTGCGGCAGGCAGTCTGACACTAACCTCACCAGTGACATTATTACAGTTAATACTATACACGGTCACTGTACTAATGGCACTGGCTGGGAAAGGGTTAACATCTAGGGCAATCAAGGAGTTAAAGTCTGCCTAACAATTTGTAATGTGTGCTAATTTTACTAAATGATCTTTAAACTTTCAGATCTCTCCCTCTGTACAGAGCTCTGTGTTGTTTACCAACACAGAGCTATGGGGTTCTGAATGCACACAGTCGATCAACAGGTCCCGGCCGTGAATCATTAGCCAGGACTTGTTGACAGGCTCCCCCTGTGTACTATCACAGCAGGGGCCGGTGGGGGGGGGAACTTGCGCCCAAAACCTGGAAGTAGGAGTGATGTACCTAGACGACACTTTACCAATAATGGCCACCCGTCTGCAGCACATTGCGGGCGGGCGTTAGGAGGTTCAAGACACATAGCGGCAAATTTACTAAAACTGGTTCACTCAGAATCTGGTGCAGCTGTGCATGGTAACCAACCAACTTCTAACTTCAGCTTGGTCAGTTAGCTTTGGCAATAAAACCTGGAAGCAGATTGGTTTCTATGTAGTAGAGCTGCACCAGATTTTGTACTCTCCGGCTTTTGTAAATAACCCCATATTGTGAATGGAAATATTATTTGAACCTTACAAAACGGTGCCTGGATTGACATTCATTGATTTTGTATATCTATAGAAACAAATAAATGTGGCTTTGTATTCAGTAATAGAACATGAAATATAGCCATTAAATATTGGGATTTGATATCAGCCCTAATCAATCCGATCTACAGCAGAGCTCAGAATGGAAAAGGGAGAATCAGCACAAGAAGCAAGTCAGTTGTGCTTCAGCGGTCATGTGCCCACCATATAAAGAAATGACAGGTGCCAGGCGGGTTCTCTCATTCTGAGAAGACATCCTCCCACTCTACGTGAGTGCCCCGGGGGGGCGATCAGCAGTGCGCTGTGTCCCTGGGACCACAGTGGATCACTGATCAATGAAAAGAGCTGATGACGTTGGCTGTCATGTGATCAGCTGTGTCCAATCAAAGCTGATTGTATGTGTGATGGGAGTCACTTTGGGTGGGGGGCCCATGAAACACAGCTCACTTTGGAGAGGTGGGGAGACCCCTGTCTCAGCTCCCCATATCCCTCTTATGTGTAAGTCACCGTGTCTTAGGGGCACAGGGTGACTAATGGACGCTGAGAATGCGGTTGGAATTACTTCAGATGTGACAGTAATATTTATCAGCCATATGAAGACTATTCCTGGTTGTTGATTCTGAACTAGACATGTGAATTGAAGCAGCCAGATTGTCTGCTCTTTAGTGAGATCCTAATTGGTCCAACCATTGTCTAGGTGTCAATTCCCATTCACCTTTTGTTTGGATCACCCAGCTAGCTAACCTAATTAACTTACTGTTTACAGTGTTAAGTCTATTTCTGTGTTTGCATATGATCATGTGATCAGTCTCAATGTGTATTGTATAAAAAAAAGCCTGTTTGAGTTTAAAATAAAGAGTTCCATGTTCAGACAAACGGTTGTCGTCTAGTCTTGTTTGGTCAGCAGTGGTGTCCGTGGATCTGTGTTCGGACAAGGAAGAGGGAGTCTAACAGAAATACCCTAGTGCAGTCGGGGTCCGGTTCCGTTACAGCTTGTAAATAAGGAAATGCCGGTTATCGGCATTCCTCTCCTCACCAACTGTCACGCTGACAACTCATGAGAGGAGAGCCGGTAGTCGGCATTCCTCAGAGGGGACATCTAAACTGATCATCAGGGCACTGATGATCAGTGTGCCCTGATAATCAGTGTAGCACCATCAGTGTCAATCAATGCCACCTGTCAGTGCCCATCACTGCCACATATCAGTGCCTACCAGTGCACATCAATGCCACATATCAGTTCCCATCTGAGCTGCCTATCAGTGCCACATATCAGTGCTGCCTTTCAGCGCCCAACAGTGATGCCTGTCAATGCCCATAAGTGCCGCCTATCAGTGCAGTCACATCAGTGAAGGAGAAGAATCACTTATTTACAAAATTTTATAATAGAAACTAAGAAAATTTTTTTTTTTTTTACTAAAAATTCAGTAGTTTTTGGTTGGTTTAGCAAAAAATAAAAACCCAGGAGGTGATTAAATACCACAAAAAGAAAGCTCTGTCTCAAAAAAAAAAAAAAAAAAAAAAAAAAAAAAAAAAAAACGACTAGAGATAAGACACAGCAAAAGCAAAGGGGGGAGGGGGACAATGCTCACACAGAGGGAGTCATGCTTGAGGTGATAGTCAGAAAACTGTTGGATAATGATTGAGGAATCCCATGTCCAAATTAAGGCCGTTATCTCTTGTGTCAAATAGAATTATTCTTAGTTCAAAAATTTTTCTTTGCTGAGGGATTTGAAATTTAAGAACTAAAATATTGAGGTCTTCGACTGTGTGGTTTGGTTGTGCAAAATGGTGTCCCACAGGTGTGCAAAAGTCATCTTCTCTTTATGTTTCTTGATGGTATGTCTGTGCAAATTCATCCTTGTTTGCAACTTCTGTCCTGTTTCATCAACATAAGATCCTTTGCTGCATTTTCTGCACTGGATAAGATACACAACATTACTGGAGGTGCAGCTGTATGATCCAGAGATATTGAAGATCCCTTTTGAGTGTCTGACACTTTTTGATGGATTGATTTGGTTGCACAGTTTGCAGCGGGTTTTTTTTTTTCCTTTCATCTCTTCTAACATTCTGTTAAAACTTTGTGAGTAGTACTGCTTGGACCTTGAAGGGGACACTCCCCAAAAGCTCATCCTCAAAATTGTATGTTCGTGCAAATAAAAAAAAAAAAAAAAAAGTGTATCGCAGACAGTACTCAATTGTTTCTGTCACAAATGCACTAATACGGCTACAATCACCTCAAGAGAAAAAAAAAAAATTATAAAAATTTCATACGAGTACAATGTCGCATGACTGCACAATTGTCAAAGTGCGACAACACTGAAAGCTGAAAATTGGCCTGGGCAGGAAGGGGGTACAAGTGCCCTGTAGGCAAGTGGTTAAACTGCAGGTTGTAAAGCATTGCACCCACAATTATGGGTGCCATGTCAGGATCCTGCAGACCCTCAGTCCACTGTCTGTCCGTACCTCATAGGGGCAGGCAGTTCCTGAATGGCAGGTAAAATCAATGAACTACAAGAGCAGTCACCAGCAGCCTTGTAGTGAAGTGAGAATTAAAATCCATCTGTCGTGGCGGCACTCCAGTACCCTCGCAATTCACTGAGAACTAGGGTTTCACCAATACCAGTACTGATACTAAGCATTTGCACAAGTACGCATACTCGTGCAAATGCTCCAATACCAGAACCCAATACCTTTGCAGTGCAAATCGCACTGCAAAGTGCACTGCACCCGCAGGGAAACCGCATGTGATCTGGACAGGAATCGCACAGCATACCTGTTCAATTCGCATGCGATTCTTTCCAGTGCAATTTGAGCCCAGTTATTTTGTATAGGCTCAAATTGCACCGTAAAGGTAACGGTGCGTACTCGACCGAAAGTATAGGTACTCGTACGCGCCGGTCAAAAGATGTATCGTGCAACCCCATTGAGAACAAGTCGCTGGCCGCAGAGGCAGACAGTACGTGTAGTTTATTCACAAAATGACAAGGCCATGTTGATGGAGCCCCACATGGCACCGTTGTATTGGAACTGTGCCAGTGGGTGTGGGGAGAGGATCCCCCACCCACTGTCACAGGGAGCTGGAACATGTTCTACCCTAATTAAAAAAACGCAGTAATTTACCAGTTAACTGTATTTCCAGGAATCTTCCAAGACAGTGTAGCTCCCTCCCAATTACTGTACCGTTATACACTGGCGTTCCGTCATTCAATGGACTGGTCATATATTGTTCCTGTGTTTTTATGCTTTATCCTAGGCCTTTGGTTTTATTCCTGTACTGAGGGTTTCCTATGGAGAGAAGCTGTTTATGGAAAAGGTGGATCGGGTGTTTTCTGCGAGGAGCCTCTTTATGTGGTGAAGCTGTCCTGGAAGATGACGCGGGAAAAACATGTTCCAAAGGTGAACTTATCCTTTAAACAAATTTAGACTTGGCTCCAATGATAGCCATCTGACTTACCTGGCAATATGCATGATTGCCTAGAGCCTTGTGAGCTTCATCTATAACTAGACACTTTATTTCAGCAGCAGGGCAGGCACCTCGGGTAAGATCATTCACCATGACCTGTGGTGTTAGGAAAAAGACCCTGTGGGAGTGCCACATGTCTTTGCGCTTCTGCACTTGAGTATTACCTGTGAACATTAAACAACACTTCTAAGAAGAGTCAGCTGATAAAAAAGTCAAACAAAAGTAACAAGTTAAATATTTACAAGCAAAGCATAAATCTTTGATAAAAAAAATGAAAACACTGAGAATAGAGGGATGAAACTGGGCTAGAAGAAGAAATGCAAAGCTGTTGCAGTAACTTTAACCTCCCGGCCCTTTAAGAGTTTCGGAAGCTGGGAGGCGGGCAGAGATTTAGGGTCATGTGACTGCCGTGATTCGCCATCACGACTGGAAAGAGTCCCAATCTAAAGGGGAGATCGGGACCTTTCCGTGAGTCGCGGACATATGTGCTGGGAGCGCGCTCTCAACACATGTATTTTCTAATTACACACAAATATGCGGCCGCTCAGCGTCAAGGCCCAGACGCCGAGAGACCGCACATTTGCGTGCGATCGGCATCAAGGGGTTAAGTTGCACAATATAATATATTCTTAAACACTGAGCTCAGAGCTACTGCATCAGGGAAGAAAAAACACATGTGATGGGGTTCAAGTCAGAAAGAGCTCACTTCTGTGATGGTGAAGGGGAACAGCTAGGAGTGTCTTAGAAACGTCCTAGCAACAAGGCAAGATGGGATGATGTAATCTCATGGAGTTATTCAGTCAGGTGTCAGGAGGTATGTAAATGGCAGATACCTATAGCAAGGGCATTGTTCAACATTGTCAAAGCTGCACAGTTTGTTTTATCTACAGGCTCCCCTTTCCTGCATAGGCAGTTTTTTGGGGTTTTTGTTTGAAACGGTTCCTTAAAATAAGAACTATAGGCAAAGCCTGTTTTTTATTTTGCCTAGAGCAAGGGTGTGTTATAATCCCTGTCAGTTTTTTGGCCATCTTGCTCCCCCTTAGGCTAGGTTCACACCTATGCGTTTTGCAAAAATGCGCAGCAGTCCATTTAACATGATTTCCTATGCCTGCCTGGGACCAGAGAGAATGGCTTTTGGGGTACATGACACATGCACTTTATTCTGCATTCGCATGTAAATGGAAATTTACTCTTAATAACCACTTGAGCTCTGGAAGGTTTTACCCCCTTCATGACCAGACTATTTTTTTTTTTTGCCATTTTAACTGACAGTTGCATAGTCGTGAAACACTGCACCCAAATTAAAATGGATTTTTTTTTCCTTACAGAAATAGAACTTTCTTTTGGTGCCATTTGATCACCACTGGCTTTATCTTGTATTATATGAACAAAAACTTTCTTACAATAGATATCCAAAAAATATATATTCTGCTACATGCCTTTGGTTAAAAAAAAATAATCCAAATAAGTGTATATTCATAGGTTTGTGGTAGAGTCTACAAATGATTGTATACATACTGGAAATTATGCAGCTATGACACTATACTGGTAAAGATGGTAATCTGGCAACAGCAGACACTGGCTGGGAGGTACAGCAACTGACTGACACCAATAGTGACACTAATACAGTGATCAGTGCTAATACTGCACACTGTCACTGTACTGACATTGGCTGGAAAGGGGTTAACATCTAGGGGCAATCAAGGGATTAACTGTGTGCCTAACAAGTGTAATGTGTACTACACAGGCTGCTTGTACTTGCAATCTTGCTTTTTTTTTCTCCCTGCTTGTCAGGGAGAAGAAACAGCAAGATTGCTATTCTGTTTACACAGACTCCTGTGTATTTGTTAACACAGGGGTCTGGGCTGTGACTTGGCAACACCAATCAGCAGGTTTCAACCAAAATCATTGGCTGAAACCGGTTGACAAAACGATGCTGTGGGTTGGCAGGGTGTGTGCCCATAGTAAATCTACAGTGGCGGGGCAGCAAGTGGTTAAGAAATTTGTTTTCTGCTGCACTTAGAGGGATATCTGAAATGCAGCAGAAGAGCACAAGAGGCTGCTTCTATCTGTATAGGTGCTGCACTAATGATTTTGTGGCCATTTTAGAATCATTTTATGGCAAGCGCCTTACTAGAGTTGGCTGCAGTTACTTTAGTGCCTACTAGCGGTTTTTGCACAATGACTATTATCAGGCATGTCAGAGGGGCTGAGGTTGTTTTCAGAGTGGGAGAGCAGAACAGAGAATCCAAATTACACAGCGGATCCTGCAGGGGTAGCGCTACACAACTCTTGTAGTGCTGCGGGCCATCATTTTCCTCTCTCTGCCAAGTGACATCACCCCCCCCCCCAGTACACATCAACCCTTCACAATCAACAAATGCCCCAGCAGCATGATCTCAGATAGCAGCCATGGTGAAGGTACCTGTCATCACCACCATGTGCTCCTGAGGAATACCCATGACCCTGAAGCAGGCTTCAATCTGCTGGGCCACCAGAGGCTTAGTGGGAGCCATAAAGACGATCTTCCCAGATGGGTACCAGCGGTAGAAGTTGTACATCACCACGGCAGCAATGAAGGTCTTTCCCAAGCCGGTGGGCAGACAAACCAGGGTGTTGTGGAAGAGGGAGGTGTGCGCCATGGTCAGCTGGTACTCCCGGATGGGGTAGTTGGTGGGGTAGATCCAGACCCTGCCGGCGGACAGGTCAAAGCCTGGGAGGTTCTGGATGTCAGGATGGTGACCGGTGCCCAGGGGGTCAGAAGCACTGGAGGGATGGGGGACAGAGCCCAGGGGGTCAGGAGCACCGGAGGGATGGAGGACAGAGCCCAGGGGGTCAGGAGCATGGTCAGCTTCATTTAATGTTTTCTCAGCCTCATACACGGCCACCAGCAGCACATCATCATCCTCATCCTCTCCCAGCTGGGGTGTTGCCTGCCAGGCTGGAGGTGGTGGGACCACATTGGGGTTTCTCTGGAAGGGGACACCCTTCCTCCTCTTGGCAGGCTTGGCCTCCTTAGCTTGGGGCTCAGGGGCCACAGTGGACCCCCAGGCCTGGAAGAGAGTCCTCTGCTTTCCATTCATCCTGCCTCCGCCATGACACAGTCAACAGCTTCCCTTCCGGGTTTAAATAAGGCGCCCCCACCATACGTAGCGACAAAGGAAGTGACGTCTAAAACCCAGCGCCTGCCCTCTCCCCCTTCACCCCGCCCCCCAGTACGTCTCTGTGTGCCCTCATTCAACATGGTGGCATCAGCCAACTTGCCACGTGACGGGCACTTCCGCTCTCATACCTATTGAAAAGTTTCTATTTGGGGGGCGGGGTTAACAATAAGCACATGTCATGGCTGCCACAGGCGGGGAGCCGAGCCGAGAGTGGAGCGACGAGCAGCTTCACGGCGATGATCTGCCCAAGAAGGATGTGATCGTCTTCCTGCAGGAGCACGCCTCAGAATCGGTGTGTGTGTGGGGAGGGGGGGAGTGAGAGGCAGGCAGCACATATGACCGAGATGGGGAGGGAGTCAACTATCATCACAGCACCGGAGTCCCCCCCCCCCCCGTTCCAGAACACGGACACTAATCTCCATCTACATGTATTCTACCCTTATCCGGGAACTTTTGAAAATAGCATCCCAGAGAATGGGAGGGAGGGGGTTAATAGTGGCAAAACTAGTGCACCATGGTGATTGGTTGTGCTAACAGTGGGAGGGGCTTCAAACTTGAGCCTATGTGCAAAGATTGGGGGGGGGGTGTATTATGTATATGTAATGTGCAGGGGGGTCAGGGGTATGTAATGTACAGAGTGTGGGGGGGTCAGGGGTATGTAATGTGCAGCGTGCGGGAGGGGTCAGGGGTATGTAATGTGTACAGAGTGCGGGAGGGGTCAGGGGTATGTAATGTACAGCGTGCGGGAGGGGTCAGGGGTATGTAATGTACAGAGTGCGGGAGGGGTCAGGGGTATGTAATGTACAGAGTGCGGGAGGGGTCAGGGGTATGTAATGTACAGAGTGCGGGAGGGGTCAGGGCTTCATCGGACATCTGAATGATCTGTTCTACACCCACATAACATTGTCCCTTACCTCTACAAGGGTTTACTGCTCATCTCTCTAGGGAAGTTGGTAAAGCAGTTTTACTTGCCTGATCCTCGGCTCAGGTATAGTGTGTGATTCTGCTGTGAACCGGCCCTCAAGGTCCTGATCTGGAGCACTGATCATGGGTGCAAAGCTGAACACTTTTTTTTATTAACCCATTCCTGCCTGCTCTGGAGTACTTGTTTAACGTTCTTAACGCCCAGGGGGGTGCAAAAGGATTATTGATCATGTGACCACTGTGATTGTCTGTCACAGTGGTCAAGTGATCGATCGGACGCCGGTCTGGCTGGCATGCAATGTTTTCTCGGGACTGGGAGCCATCTTCGGGAGCTCCCAGCATATGAACATTACTCACCCAATGACACCTATGTGCAGCATGTGGGTGTTAAAGGCGGGATTTTTGCTGCCACATATATGGGTTACAGTAGCGTCAAGGGGTTAACGTGCATTTATTACATTTTTGCAGAAGATGGAGTATGCCTGTGTCAGGGGAAAAAAACAGGTTGCTGGTAACGAGTATCAAGTGCGGTCACCTACCTCCTGCAACTCTGCTAGCAGACAGCAGCCCTTCTGAATAGTCAGAGCTCCATCACTGTTTTCTAGGGATAAGTCTCATCAGCCCCCTTCCACCTCACACACCTTCCTATTGGCCAAGGAAGCAGTCCAACTGCAGTCCAACTACTCCTAAGGGGAATCAGGAGGGCTCAGGGTCAAAAATGGAGAAACGGCAGTAAAACCATGCGGAGGTCCCCATCCAGTTGTACTCAAAATGCCTGTACTATGTCCAAATATATAAAAGAAAAAATGTTGCTTCTGAATACAGATTTTAAATACAGGTGTACAGCAGTTTACGAGCACCTCGGTTAATGTAATTTTAGGTTTACGAATGAAAATAATGCCTCGGTTTACAAATTTGTTTTGCAATACGAACAGATTAATTGGTTTTCAATGCATTTACAAATTTTTTTTTAAATCATGTCCCTACACAGTACTATGCCTTTATAGTGCACTTTATAAACAGTTTTGAACAGACAAAGTACTTTTTTTTTTTTTTTTTTTTTTTTTACCTTTTTCTGACCTCTGGAACAGATTAATTGGTTTTCAATGCATTCCTATGGGAAACCGCATTTCGGTTTTCGAAATACGAAACATCCCGCAGAACAAATTAAATTCGTAAACCGAGGTATGCCTGTATTAGTCTCCATTTCATTATGTTTTAGTGGCAGATTTGTCCCATCAGCATTACAGCTTATCAATGTTGTTTTATTTCTAGTTCCTGGCAGAACACAAGTTGCTTGGAAATGTCAAGAATGTAGCAAAAACAGCCAAAAAGGATCATCTCATCACGGCCTATAACAAATTATTTGAAACAAAGGTAGGTTGGATATGTTAAGACGGGATTCATTAAAATGTAACTAAGACAGAATCTGAGTGTGTCTATGGGAGTCATTGACCTCGGGGTGCATGTAGAATCACTACAAGATATCTTAGTAAAAGCACCACATATTACAACCAATAACACTTAAGCACACAGTTAACCCATTGATTGCTCCTAGATGTTAACCCCTTCCCAGCCAGTGTCATTAGTATAGAATTAGCACTGATCACTGTATTAGTGTCACTATTGATGTCAGTGCACCCCCCCCCCAGCCATCATCAGCTAGTGTCAGATTGCCCGCCACACTATCACAGTCTTAGTATAAGGTCCCATGTACACGGGACACTTCTGAATGATGGAAACTGACTGCTGGAAAACGTAGGTTACAAACCGTCTGTTTAGCTGCGTTTGCATAACGCGTTTATGTGCGTTTGCGTTTAGAAGGTTTTTTTTAAAGATAAGCACAGGAGAACCTCCCAAATGCCCAGAATGCACTGAAAAGTGGTAAATTATTAACTATTTCAGACTGTTTCAGAGAAATACAGAGAGTAGAAGCAGAGGCAGCAGTGCGTGTTAACATTAGCTTAGGTGTGAGTTGCTCATTAACATTTATTTTGTTTCTAAGGGTGGAAAAGGTGTCTGGTTCAGGGAGTCATTAAGGACACCTGGCAGGGGGTCTTCATGAGGAATTTGAGGTGTGAATGGTCAACATATCTTTTGTTTCCAAGGGTGGGAGAGATCTGAGGTGTGAATTGGTCATTACAATGTGTGACAAGCTTGGTAGGAAGATCCTGTGTTCAGTGTTTTGGCCATCTGAGCACCTTGAAAATGCTTTGCATGCATTTTTCATGATGAAAAAAGGCTCTGGACAGCATTGGGAACTGGAAGCGTAAAAAAAAATTTTGAAACGCTTATAAATGCGATTTGCCACGTTTACAAGCGTTTTGCATTTGAAACGCTAATAAATTTGACTGCTGAACGCAAGTTTGGTGTGTTCAAAAAAAAATTACTGTAAACTCAAATGCCTGTAAACGAAGATGTGTACATGGACACATAGGAAAACATTAGGGAGAGTTCAGGGGCTGCTGAAAAAAACGTGAACAGCTCCTAAACATGAGTGTATCAGCTGCAGTGTACATGAGCCCTAAGTTGCTGATCGCCGCCATTACTAGTATAAATAAATAAAATTTCCAGTATATATACCATAGTTTGTAGATGCTATAACTTTTATGCAACCAATTAACCACTTGCCATCCGTCCTATATCAGAAGTACTGCTAAAGGGCAGCACAGCTGCGCAAAATCGCGTGTATATATACATGATTTGCATGTCGGCGTGTGTATATATACATGATTTGCATGTCGGCGTGTGTGTATATACATGATTTGCATGTCGGCTTGTGTGTATATATATATATATATATATATATATATATATATATATATATATATATATATACACACACATGATTTACATTTCGGCGTGTGTATAAATACATGATTTGCATGTCGGCGTGTGTATATATATATATATATATATATACATGATTTACATTTCGGCGTGTGTATATATACATGATTTACATTTCGGCGTGTGTATATATACATGATTTGCATTTTGGCGTGTGTATATATACATGATTTGCATTTTGGCGTGTGTATATATACATGATTTGCATTTTGGCGTGTGTATATATACATGATTTGCATTTCGGCGTGTGTATATATATATATATATATATATATATATATATATATATATATACATGATTTGCATTTTGGCGTGTTTATATATATATATATATATATATATATATATACATGATTTGCATTTCGGCGTGTGTATATATACATGATTTGCATTTCGGCGTGTGTATATATACATGATTTGCATTTCGGCGTGTGTATATATACATGATTTGCATTTTGGCGTGTGTATATATACATGATTTGCATTTCGGCGTGTGTATATATATATATATATATATATATATATATATATATATATATATATATATATATATATATATATATATATATATATATATATATATATATATATATATATATATATATATATATATACATGATTTGCATTTCGGCGTGTGTATATATACATGATTTGCATTTCGGCGTGTGTATATATACATGATTTGCATTTCGGCGTGTGTATATATACATGATTTGCATTTCGGCGTGTGTATATATACATGATTTGCATTTCGGCGTGTGTATATATACATGATTTGCATTTCGGCGTGTGTATATATACATGATTTGCATTTCGGCGTGTGTATATATACATGATTTACATTTCGGCGTGTATATATACATGATTTGCATTTCGGCGTGTATATATACATGATTTGCATTTCGGCGTGTGTATATGTACATGATTTGCATTTCGGCGTGTATATATACATGATTTACATTTCGGCGTGTGTATATATACATGATTTGCATTTCGGCGTGTATATATACATGATTTACATTTCGGCATAGGGGGCGTGCGTGCACTGCTATTGGCGGCTGGGGATGTCAATCACCGGGTCCTGGATGGCAATTCCCAGCCGGTGATCGTCGGCAAAGCTGACGGGAGAGGCCTGTGTGTAAACGACACCGGTGTCCCTCCTTTCAGCATGCACATGCTGCTTTGTATCTCTTTGATTTCTTTTGTTCAGCTCCTAGGAGGAGGCAGAACAAGAAAAAAATCTAATGGCCCCCACACCATGCTAAACAGTATGCATAAAGGAATATCTGGGTATTGCTTTCAGGCAGCCACAGCATCCACAGATGGCAGAATACTTGAACATTGATTGCATTTGAAAGGATGCAGTCACTGTTCTGCCTACAATTTTCCACCCAGCTCCTTCAGTTCTTTGACTTTTCTGTAGACAGGGCCACCTATGGCTTGAATTTCCTCTGATTCTGCAGGAATTGGACAACATTCAAGCAGTGTATGGCCTGCCTAAGACCACATTCACCACTCGGCGCACTGAAAATGAATACTTGAGCCCAAAATTCTCATTTATATGCAGTGTTTCTCTCCCCCTGTGTCACAAACCATTATTAGTGCAATGAATAGCATGCGGTTGAATTTAGGCGTTGTGCCTGGATCTGATTATAGGCCATAAATCCTCCCTCCAACATCACTGCAATGACAGAGTAAGAATTGCCTGCAAACATGCACAGCCTGAAACATTGACACTCATGAACAGGGGGCATGCAATACAGTCCAGCATTCTACAATCTATGTACATCTGTTTAAACTGCATGCTGTCTTCCAGCGTTTCAAGGGAACGGACCGTACTGAAAGTGTGACAAAACAAGTGAAAGATCTGAAAGTTGATGATGCAAAGGCTGCTGAAACCAAGACAGAAGAGGTGGTTGATGAGGTAGGTTGTTTGGACCGGAACTCCTGTCCAGAACCCCCCCCCCCTTCCTTAACCACTTGCCTACTGGACACTTATACCCACTTCCTGCCCAGGCCAGAATTTTGAGCTTTCAGTGCTGTCGCCCTTTGAATGACAACTGCGCGGTCATGCAACACTGTACCCGTATGACATTATCTTTTTTTCACACAAATAGAGCTTTCTATTGATGGTATTTAATCGCCGCTGGGCATTTTATTTTTTGCGCTATCAACAAAAGAGCAAAAAATTAGAAAAAAAAAAGTTTTTCTTTGTTTCTATTATAAAATTTTGCAAACAGGTAATTTTTCTCCTTCACTGATGTGTATTGATGAGGCGGCACTGATGTGCAGCACTGCTGGGCGGCACTGATGTGCAGCACTGCTGGGCGGCACTGATGTGCAGCACTGCTGGGCGGCACTGATGTGCAGCACTGCTGGGCGGCACTGATGTGCAGCACTGCTGGGCGGCACTGATGTGCAGCACTGCTGGGCGGCACTGATGTGCAGCACTGCTGGGCGGCACTGCTGGGCACTGATCATCAGTGCCCTGATGATCAGTGACGGTCTGTTTTCGGACAATTGCCGGTTATCGGGAGTACATTCCTCACGCTGTGACAGTGTGGGGAAAGTGCAGCCGTCAACCACCAACTGCTTTTACCCGGTGATCTGCTGTGCTATTGGACACAGCTGATCACGTGGTAAAAGGTAGCTGTGATTGACCTTTTACCACATCACATGATCAGCTCGGTCCGTAGGACACAGCGACCACGGAGATCACCGGGGGCGCATTCTGGTAGAAAATCATGACTCCCTCCCAGAACTGGACAACCACGCTGTAGCCATCATTCAGCTATAGCCCGGTTGTCAAGTGGTTAAATCCCATGTAGAAATAGTGACTGCTATATTCTTGTGTTGTCCCTACTTTTTTTTCTGTTTTGTTGGGTCTTGGTTTACGTCGTGTCCCTGGAGACATGCGGCTTTTTTTTTTCCTGCTTTTTTTTAACTATAGAATAAAGCATTTTTTTCCTGCATACAGATGATTGATTTTATCAAACCCTGTTTCCTAAAATCTAAAGATCTTACGATTCTAAGCACTTTCTGCTATTCCAGTGCCTAAAATGTGAGACTGTCTGAGCTTTTTGATTTTGATGTTTTAGTTAGGGAGACTGGTCACTTTGTCCTTTCCCCCGACCAATGTGTATTCTTATCGCTGTGCTCCCTCGTCCTCCAGAGATGCTCAAAATTATCTGGTACACTTTGGTATAGAGAGCATGTGACTACCTCCCATAATGCAGTGCTCAGGCCCAGCAGCCAATTGCCAGACTCCGTGTCACATGATGAAGGGGCAAACAAAAAAAAATAAGATCCCTGTGCTCAAATCCCAACAGCTAGTGCATGCATTTATCCATCAGTTGTTAAAGGGGTGTAACCAGGGGCAAACTGACCATTTGGAAACTCAGGCATTGCCCGAGGGCTCGGGGTCAGTAAGGGGCCCCATGAGCTCCCCCTGGTACCTTTTTCATAGGCTTTTTTGAGTTCGGGCAAGGACACAGGGGCCCCATAATCCCCTATTGCCCGGGGGCCCCACAAGTTGTCAGTCCGCCCCTGGGTGTAACCACATATGAACACTAGAAATTCTGAAGGACCCTCTGCACACTGGTATATACCCTTTCAAGCAGACTATGCAACAAATAGGGATATTTAGTTCATACATATTGCAATACATGCGTAAGCTGGCCAACTGCATCAAAGTAATCCCTCTATGGCCGGTCCTACTCTGCCTACGCAAATGCTACTGTGGACACAATGCTAACATGATGAAGGGGATGACGGCATCAACACTGTAAGCTCCGTCACAGAGCTTACACAGGGATACATGAGCAATATGTTATTTTACAAAGTGTAGTTTATTTGTATCAGAGTGTGAATAAATTATATTCATTTTCTACTTATTAATTTCTAAATGTCTTTCCATGCCTCTATCCAGACAGTGTTTGGAGTTTAAATGTATGTTATTATTTATTAGGGTCCCCCCAAGTACACCAAGTTCATGCTGAAGAAGGGAGATAAGACTAACTTTCCAAAGAAAGGAGACACTGTGCATTGTTGGTACACCGGGACGTTGGAGAATGGAACAGTGTTTGACAGCAATATAACAACAAGTAAGCCCCCCCCCCTATGATTTAGATGTCATTTTTAAAGTTCTGTATTTATTATTTATATCTCCTATTCCAATTGTGGTTTTTCAGTGACCTGTATGTGACAAGTTGTGTTTATTCCCAACTTTGCTTTTGGATAATGTGAGGACCAGGATTTGATGAGGCTTCTCCTTCATGTCTCTGTTACAAATACATGAAAACAAGTGTTTAGGTTGCATTCTGCAGATGTTCCTCTTTTCTACAATCAGCTTTATGGTAGCAGTAATATGACTTGCAATGTGCATTGCAAGCCAGTTGATTAAAGGATAAGTTCACCGTTTGAGAACATATTACGTGTTCCACCCATTTTTATGGTGTAATATGTTCCACTCCTGCAGCTTTCTCCAGTTGCCCCCCTCCCATTTGAAAAGAGCACAGTTGTGCAGGGACTGAAATAAATGTCTGCCTCTATTGCAGGTACAGGCAGACCGTTACAAGGACAGTCTGCAGGAGCCTGACATTGCACCCACGATCTGCTGATTGCTTCTCTGTCTGGCACTCCAATGGATGTGTCTGGGTTTGGCGGTTGCCGGAATGGTACTTGCCTGACTACATTGTGCCAAGTGTAAAGTTTGGTGGAGAGGGGATTATGGTGTGGGGTTGTTTTTCAGGGGTTGGGCTTGACCCCTTAGTTCCAGTGAAGGGAACGCTTAAAGCATCGGCACACCAAGATATTTTGGACAATTTCATGCTGCCAACTTTGTGGGAACAGTTTGGGGATGGCCCTTTCCTGTTCCAACATGACTGCGCACCAGTGCACAAAGCAAGGTCCATAAAGACATAGGTGAGCGAGTTTGGGGTGGAGGAACTTGACTGGCCTGCACAGTCCTGACCTCAACACAAAAGAACACCTTTGGGATGAATTAGAGCGGAGACTGCAAGCCAGGCCTTCTCATCCAACATCAGTAACTGACTTCACAAATGAGCTTCTGGAAGAATGGTCAAACATTCCCATAGACACTCCTAAACCTTGTGGACAGCCTTCCCAGAAGAGTTGAAGCTGTTATAGCTGTAAAGGGCGGGGCCAACTCAATATTGAACCCTATGGACTAAGACTGGGATGCCATTAAAGTTCATGTGTGAAGGCAGACGGCACAATATTTTTGGCAATATCGTGTACAGAAGTGAGTACACCCCTCACATTTTTGTAAATATTTTATTATATCTTTTCATGTGACAACACTGAAGAAATGACACTTTGCTACAATGTGACGTAGTGAGTGTACAGCTTGTATAACAGTGTAACTTTGCTGTCCCCTCAAAATAACTCCACACAGCCATTAATGTCTAAATCGCTGGCAACAAAAGTGAGTACACACCGTGCTGCAGCTCAGTTCCAGGGTCTTGGCAATCTTCTTATAGCTTAGGCCATCTTTTATGTAGAGCAACAATTTTTCTTTTTTTTTAGATCCTCAGAGTTCTTTGCCATGAGGTGCCATGATGAACTTCCAGTGACCAGTATGAGAGATTGAGAGCAATAACACCAAATTTAACACACCTGCTCCCCATTCACACCCGAGACCTTGTAACACTAACGAGTCACATGACACTGGGGAGGGAAAATGGTTAATTGGGCCCAAATTGGACATTTTCACATAGGGTTGCACTCACTTTTGTTGCCAGCGGTTTAGACATTAATAGCTGTGTGTTGAGTTATTTTGAGGGGACAACAAATATACACTGTTATACAAGCTGTACACTCACTATGTCACATTGTAGCAAAGTGTCATTTCTTCAGTGTTGTCACATGAAAACATATAAGAAAATATTTACAAAAATGTGAGGGGTGTACTCACTTCTGTGAGATACTGTATATGCACGTGCTTTATAGTGTTTAAGAAGCAATATTAGGTATTTATACAGTAAAGCTGCACTAAATGAAGGCATACACATCTTCTCAGCAGTCCCTCCCTGGAGCCGGCATCTTCTCCTGTATGCTGGGTTTTTGCTGGTGCGGGATGACGTCACTCCTACGAGTGCACAGGAGCTAATCATCCCAGCACACAGTCGAGGAATCTCTGAGGAGGCAGGTAAGAGTGTTTTATTGCAGAGGAGGCATTGCATGTCTCTTCTGTAATACAGTGCCTGCCTGTTCAGTGTATCATAGCAGGAACATTAGTTTGCATTAAAGGAAGTTTGCTTCAAAGCAACTTGGATGCTTCTGAACAATTTTAAATTAGTTCATATAAAGAACAGAATATTTACCTCTTCTCCTGCCTGCATCATGACCTCCAGTCTTGAAGAGCTTAAAAATACTTAGCATCTGGGAATATCAGATTCCTTGCCGCCTCTGTGCTTTGTGGTTCTTCTTGACCACCCTACGTTGCTACAGGACACAGCAACATGGGATACAGTGAAGGAACCACAACAGGCAGCAGGGATCAGACAACCAACACACCCAGAAGGCAGGGGAACAGGCAAATATAACATTTCTTTTACAGGCACTGTCTTTAATTTTTTTTTCAAAGTGACAGTTACTTAAACAAAATTCTGTGACCTGCTGAGAAACTTTATTTTGTACTAACTTTTATTTCTCATGGCTAACCTGGAATGTGCAGTTCCATACTAACTGCATAGACATGGATCCTCTAAGCCTGTTAGCACACCTAATTCACTGATTTAATTTTTGTGTCAGGTGCAAAGAAGAAAAAAGCCACCAAGCCCTTGGCCTTCAAAGTTGGTGTTGGCAGAGTCATCAGAGGTGTAAGTAAAGGAACACACAGCTTGTAACAAGATTTGCTTTGGGCTAAACAGATATGAATTCATCTTTTAATTACAGAGAACCCTTGCCTGTACAGAAAATATCAGTAGGTGTATAAGAAATATGTTCAGATCCCTTTTTTTTTTTTTTTTTTTTTTTTTTCTTACAGTGGGATGAAGCCCTGCTCACCATGAGCAAAGGCGAAAAAGCTAAACTTGAAATCGAGTCTGAATGGGCCTATGGCAAGAAGGGTCAGCCTGATGCCAAGTATCCTTTATCTTTTCTTTTTTCAGCTGCTTGTTGCAACCTCTTTATATGTATGTATATATAAGTATATGTATGTGTGTATATGTATGTATGTACACACGTACACACACACACACGTACACACACACACACACACACACACACACACGTACACACACACACGCGTACACACACACACACACACTTATTTGAACACCCTACGATTTTGTTAGTTCTCCCACTTAGAAATCATGGAGAGGTCTGAAATTCACATTGTAGGTGCATTCCCACTGAGAGACAGAATTTGAAAAAAAATTCAGGAAATCGCATTGTATGATTTTGAAAGAATTTATTTGTATCGCACTGCTGAACATACAGTCAGGTCCAAAAATATTGGGACATCGACACAATTCTAACATTTTGGGCTCTATACACCACCACAATGGATTTGAAATGAAACAAACAAGATGTGCTTTAACTGCAGACTGTCAGCTTTAATTTGAGGGTATTGACATCCAAATCAGGTGAATGGTGTAGGAATTACAACAGTTTGCATATGTGCCTCCCACTTGTTAAGGGACCAAAAGTAATGGGACAGAAAAATAATCATAAATCAAACTTTCACTTTTTAATACTTGGTTGCAAATCCTTTGCAGTCAATTACAGCCTGAAGTCTGGAACGCATAGACATCACCAGACGCTGGGTTTCATCCCTGGTGGTGCTCTGCCAGGCCTCTACTGCAACTGTCTTCAGTTCCTGCTTGTTCTTGGGGTATTTTCCCTTCAGTTTTGTCTTCAGCAAGTGAAATGCATGCTCAATCAGATTCAGGTCAGGTGATTGACTTGGCCATTGCAGAACATTCCACTTCTTTCCCTTAAAAAAACTCTTTGGTTGCTTTTGCAGTATGCATGAGGGTAAAAAAAAAACAAAAAACTTCAGTGTGCAGCTCCCCCCGCAACCCCCCTAATACTTACCTGAGCCTGATCCAGCAATGTGCACGAGAGCCAAAGCACTCTCGCAGGTCTCTCTCTCTTTCCTCAATGGCTGAGACACAGCAGTGGGAGCCATTGGTTTCTGCTGCAGCCAGTGAGGATGGGGCGAGGCTAAACCACACTGTGTGTCCCATAGACGCACACACGAGTGCCCACAGAACAAGCAGCTTGCTCTGGGGTCACTCAGCAGGGGGGTTGGGCCATAAGCGCTGATGGACCTGAGAAAAGGAGGATTGGGGCTGCTCTCTGTAAAACCATTGCACAGAGCAGGTATGATTTGTTTATTATTTAAAAAAAAAAAAAAAAACCTTAACCCCTTTTTAAGAGGGTTGCAAGGTCCATTGATGGACATAAGTCCCACCCTCTGTATCTATTATCTTGCTCTCAGTGCTGCTCTGCTACAAAATTAAAGTGTTACTAAACCCACAACAGTAAAATCAGTCTGTATATGCAGTAAAGCATGTTTGTTATACTTGCTGTGGAACTTAAGGGGTTAATCCTCTACATTGTGTAAAAAGGATGTTTGATCTGGACTTCTCTGATCCTCCCCTTCTTCCAGTGTCCCTTTCTTATCTCCTCATAACACATATCATGTGGGATCACTGCACATGCTCAGTTTGGTGTGTATTTCTTAAGGGTTTTTTTTTTCCTTGGGAGAGTGCATGTTATCAGCATAGGCCAATCAACACTCTCCAGACAGGTCAGGGGTCCTGCATCCTCCTAGAGCAAAATGAAAACTCCTACAAGCTTTAGCCAGTGCTCTGCCGGACACTGATAGAAGTCACAAGACCGCTCTAACTGCTGATGAGAAAAGGTATTTAGCAGTTTATATTTACTAAAATAATTGCATTTCTGTGTACTGTGGGAGACCAGATACAGTGAATGACGAGTGCGGGGTTTAGTAACACTTTAAGACATAATGAGAGGGGGTTCTCCGTTGTTGGTCTACAGTTTGTTTGGCCGTGTCCAATCCTCCTGTAGGTAACAGTATAGACTAAATTTGACTTCCTGTGTCCCCTGAATGGACTCCCCAGAAAAGGGTTTTTATGGTGAGTACAAGAATATCAGAAAAGCACAGGTTTACTTTAAAACCCATATTTCAGTTGGTGTAAGCCCAAGACCTCATACTCATTTGTGCTTCCTATAAGATTTTCCTTGAAAAACTTCTAAAGAAATTACAGGTTTTAGGCCTCTTCCCTTTTTTTTCTGCATCCACAAATAAGGTTTCACTGTAGATATTAGTAATGTGTTATGAGAATCTTGTGGATTTGCCAGGTTGAGTCAGCCGCAGGTGTCCTCATTACACCCATAGACCATAAAATAAAAAAAATAGTTTGCGAACAGAAATCCATCCATTGCTAGTCATGGCATGCTTTGCAAGCATCTCTTGACATGCTGAGAAAAATTCCTGGAAGTTATTTTTTATGTGTTATCTCTTTCCTGGAAATGGTTATTTTGGTACTGTTTGAGAAAACGATATTGTACATTTTACACCCCATTTGTCGCATTAACTGCAATTTTCTTCGCTCAATCTAGTTTGACATCGAGAGAAGGGCTAGATATACTCTCCTACTAAGATTTTTCCTCCTCAGTGACCACACAATGCAGGAACTACATTGATTGATTGGCTCATCTCCACTATAGGACAGCAGACAATATATCCACAAGACTCAGGTGTGCACTTGGAGGCAAATGAAAACAAAAGTGCACCAACCTTGCGCATTAGCTCAATAAAAAGCTATAATTTATTAAAATGAGATGTATACTCACAAACAAGGCAGTATAAAAGGCATACAAAATCCTAGAAAGAACATTGAAGTGCGAGACCCGTGCAGATCCCACCGAGTGCGGAGACCGAGTTCAGCTAACGCGTTTCAAAGGGAGATTCCTTCTTCCTCAGAGTTAACAAAACCATGAGTGCCCTCTTCTATATATATATATATATATATATATATATATATATATATATATATATATATATATATATATATATATAAATAAATAATCTCATAGAACTAAGAATAAGCCCTCCCAAATGGGCTGGGCAGTCCCAACAAGGTAGGTGGGGCATAGGTGTCATATAAACATGCTAAACAAAGTAAGAGGACTCTGAGTTCAGCGGCAGCGAGAGTCTTCCCTCTCGGTGGGATTTGCATGGATCTCGCACTTCAATGTTCCTTCTAGGACTTTATATGCCTTTTTTATACTGCCTTGTTTGTGAGTATACATCTCATTATAGCTTTTTATTGAGGTAATGCGTAAGGTTGGTGCGCTTTTTGTTTTTCATTTGCAGTACTGGTTGGGCTTCCCCAGCCTTGTTGAGCTGCACAACCTTTGAACCATTGGTGGATGAACTTCCTTAGTGGTTGATCCATCCACCCATCCTGAACTGGGTTCGCTGAGTGCAGGAGGTATTGTTTCTGTGTACACTTGGAGGCTACTGACCTGATCTATTAGGCTTCTTATGGGGCACAGATGGGTGCAAATATTTTAGGTACATATAAGGATGATCTCCGTCAAACACTGGTGTTACTTTGTTGTTGGTCAGTCTTGGCTTCCCTTCCAGGCTGTACTGATCCAATTTCCAAATTAGTGATGGAGCTACTAGGTTTCCTTAACTACATAACCCAGAATCCCACCCAATGCCAAGCTGATTTTTGAAGTGGAACTGGTTGACATTAACTGAAAACGAACAGCTGTGATCTTCAACTACCAGAATGTGAGGGAAATAAATGCTTTGTTTACACATCTGCTGCCAACTATGTAAATAAAATGGACAAATTTGATCTTTCATTTGTTTTTTAAGATTAGCTATAGAAAATGACTTGTGACATCTACTTGGCTGCATGGGAGAGTTGTACAGGTATTTGAAGAGCTCCAGGTTAGCCTCGTGGCCCCCTCCTTGTGAACTTAGCTTTGGCGCCCCCCCCTTCATCTGCTGACCCACAAGTTTAGAGAACTTCAGATGTTGCTTTGTTGATGGTCGCAACGGAAGGTTGGAACTTGGGGATATTCTAAAGTGTGCATCTGGATTGGGGGGGGGGGGGGGCTGCCTTGGCATAGAGAGGCAGGGTGGATTTGATCTAAATCACTAGTGCAAAGACTCGATTTAAATCATAATTTTTTGAAAGAGCAACTGTCATCTCTGACTCGCTGTTGACTCACTGACAGTCCCATTCACTTTAATGGGACGTCTGGTGATGCGGCAGTGACACAACAAGGTGAGGGACGTGGCGGCAGCAGGTGAGTGGATGCCCACTAACAGGAGCTGCCATGGTGGATCTAAAATGACAGGTGCTCTTTGAATGTAAGGAATCAGACTCATTGTTGCTGGTAGTTAGAATTTTTAATATTTGATGACCAAATAAAGGTTTCCATTTTAGAATAATAAGCTGTCAGGTTAGTAAAACAGCGATATCAGAACTGATTTTAGGTTAATAGGTTCATCACACATAGCTGGAGAACGACTCAAATTCGTTTTTCATGTTTTTTCTCATGGTTACTGTGAAATTGTGTGAATGCATTGCATGTTATCATAATAGCTTGCATTCATTGAATGAGTTTACCAAAAATTAAAATATTGCAGAATATACAGCCTCATACTACATAACTAAGCTCTATTTCATGCTGAATAAACTAAGTTTTCTATTTAAGATACATGAAAAATTATCTTATCTTTTTTACTTAAAGCATTTTATTCAAATACATTTGATCAAAATCAAAAATCCAATTTTTAAATAAAAAAAAATCCAAAACAAAATATTTTTAATTATTTTTATCCACCCTCTCCAGAGGTATGTGCAAATAGATTCTAAATCCAATGTACTGGGCTACAGGTAGAGACATGTACACGGTAATGAGTGTTGTAGCACAATCTTTGCCTGGAGGATCGTTAAAGCGTAACCCTCTTCAAAAAGGTATACAACCAAAAAAAATGCAACCCTAACCCCGTGTTAAGGTTATATATTTTTTTTTTTTTTTTGAGTGATCACAAGCAGACAAACGTTTACTTTTTAAAGGATAAGTTCATCTTTCTCAACATGTGACCCCTATATTTAGGATTTAACTTGAGCATCCACCACCTTAGCCCAAATCTGCCCTCTGTCACAATTTAAAAACAGTGGGGCTCCGCCCACATGGTCATGTCATTCATTCATAAAGTTCAATGAATGAATGCCTACAAGTAGTGCCAGCCATTGCGGCAGATGGTTTGTAGTTCACTGATTCTTCCTGCAATTAAGTAACTGCTTGCCTGTAGGAGAGATATGGGCAGACAGTGTACTAACAGTCTGCAAGAGCCTAAAATTACACCTGTGAACTGCTGATCATGGATGCAATGCTTTAGAGCAGCGGTTCTCAACCTGGGGGTCGCGACCCCTTTGGGGGGTCGAACGACCATTTCCCAGGGGTCGCCTAAAACCATTGGAAAACACATATTTCCGATGGTCTTAGGAACCGAGACACCGCTGCTGTCTCCGGCGATGTGTGGGCGGGATGATATGCTGCCCCTGTCACCGCCTCCTCGCCGCTGATTGGCCACCGGAACTGTAGCTCAGGAGAGGCACACAGGCGGCCAATCACCGGCGAGAAGGTGGAGCTTGGAGAGGAGGAGCCGAGCGGCAGCGCGCGGAGATCGAAGAAGATCGAGGGAGCTGCAGGAACGAGTGAAGAGAGGCCAGAGAAGGAAGACAGCTGACAGGTAAGTGCAAATTTTCCTGCTGCAGCCAGGTATGCAGGATGTAGATGGGAGAGGGAGAGAGCGAGCCCAGGCTGGAGCAGGAGTCAGCAAGGTAAGTATCATTGGTGTCAGTGGAAGGGATAGTGCCCCATCATTTGTGTCACTAATACCAACGATGGGGCGCTATTCCCCCCCCCCCCCCACTGACGCCAACGATGGGGCGCTATTCCCCCCCCCCCCCCACTGACGCCAACGATGGGGCGCTATTCCCCCCCCCCCCCCCCCCCACTGACGCCAACGATGGGGCTTTATCCCCCCCCCCCCACTGACGCCAACGATGGGGCGCTATTCCCCCCCCCCCCCCCACTGACGCCAACGATGGGGCGCTATTCCCCCCCCCCCACTGACGCCAACGATGGGGCGCTATTCCCCCCCCCCACTGACGCCAACGATGGGGCGCTATTTCCCCCCCCCCCACTGACGCCAACGATGGGGCGCTATTCCCCCCCCCCACTGACGCCAACGATGGGGCGCTATTCCCCCCCCCCCACTGACGCCAACGATGGGGCGCTATTCCCCCCCCCCACTGACGCCAACGATGGGGCGCTATTCCCCCCCCCCACTGACGCCAACGATGGGGCGCTATTCCCCCCCCCCACTGACGCCAACGATGGGGCGCTATTCCCCCCCCCCCCACTGACGCCAACGATGGGGCGCTATTCCCCCCCCCCCCCACTGACGCCAACGATGGGGCGCTATTCCCCCCCCCCACTGACGCCAACGATGGGGCGCTATTCCCCCCCCCCCACTGACGCCAACGATGGGGCGCTATTCCCCCCCCCCCACTGACGCCAACGATGGGGCGCTATTCCCCCCCCCCCACTGACGCCAACGATGGGGCGCTATTCCCCCCCCCCACTGACGCCAACGATGGGGCGCTATTCCCCCCCCCCCCACTGACGCCAACGATGGGGCGCTATTCCCCCCCCCCACTGACGCCAACGATGGGGCGCTATTCCCCCCCCCCCACTGACGCCAACGATGGGGCGCTATTCCCCCCCCCACTGACGCCAACGATGGGGCGCTATTCCCCCCCCCCCCACTGACGCCAACGATGGGGCGCTATTCCCCCCCCCCCCCCACTGACGCCAACGATGGGGCGCTATTCCCCCCCCCCACTGACGCCAACGATGGGGCGCTATTCCCCCCCCCCACTGACGCCAACGATGGGCGCTATTCCCCCCCCCCCCCACTGACCCAACGATGGGGCGCTATTCCCCCCCCCACTGACGCCAACGATGGGGCGCTATTCCCCCCCCCACTGACGCCAACGATGGGGCGCTATTCCCCCCCCCCACTGACGCCAACGATGGGGCGCTATTCCCCCCCCCCACTGACGCCAACGATGGGGCGCTATTCCCCCCCCCCACTGACGCCAACGATGGGGCGCTATTCCCCCCCCCCCACTGACGCCAACGATGGGGCGCTATTCCCCCCCCCACTGACGCCAACGATGGGGCGCTATTCCCCCCCCCCACTGACGCCAACGATGGGGCGCTATTCCCCCCCCCCACTGACGCCAACGATGGGGCGCTATTCCCCCCCCCCACTGACTGACGCCAACGATGGGGCGCTATTCCCCCCCCCCACTGACGCCAACGATGGGGCGCTATTCCCCCCCCCCTGACGCCAACGATGGGGCGCTATTCCCCCCCCCCCCCACTGACGCCAACGATGGGGCGCTATTCCCCCCCCCCCCCCCACTGACGCCAACGATGGGGCGCTATTCCCCCCCCCCCCCACTGACGCCAACGATGGGGCGCTATTCCCCCCCCCCCCCCACTGACGCCAACGATGGGGCGCTATTTCCCCCCCCCCCCCACTGACGCCAACGATGGGGCGCTATTTCCCCCCCCCCCCACTGACGCCAACGATGGGGCGCTATTTCCCCCCCCCCCCACTGACGCCAACGATGGGGCGCTATTTCCCCCCCCCCCCACTGACGCCAACGATGGGGCGCTATTTCCCCCCCCCCCCACTGACGCCAACGATGGGGCGCTATTCCCCCCCCCCCCCCCACTGACGCCAACGATGGGGCGCTATTCCCCCCCCCCCACTGACGCCAACGATGGGGCGCTATTCCCCCCCCCCCCCCACTGACGCCAACGATGGGGCGCTATTCCCCCCCCCCCACTGACGCCAACGATGGGGCGCTATTCCCCCCCCCCCCACTGACGCCAACGATGGGGCGCTATTCCCCCCCCCCCCACTGACGCCAACGATGGGGCGCTATTCCCCCCCCCCCCCCCACTGACGCCAACGATGGGGCGCTATTCCCCCCCCCCCCACTGACGCCAACGATGGGGCGCTATTCCCCCCCCCCCCCCACTGACGCCAACGATGGGGCGCTATTCCCCCCCCCCCACTGACGCCAACGATGGGGCGCTATTCCCCCCCCCCCCACTGACGCCAACGATGGGGCGCTATTCCCCCCCCCCCCACTGACGCCAACGATGGGGCGCTATTCCCCCCCCCCCACTGACGCCAACGATGGGGCGCTATTCCCCCCCCCCCCCACTGACGCCAACGATGGGGCGCTATTCCCCCCCCCCCCCCACTGACGCCAACGATGGGGCGCTATTCCCCCCCCCCCCCACTGACGCCAACGATGGGGCGCTATTCCCCCCCCCCCCACTGACGCCAACGATGGGGCGCTATTCCCCCCCCCACACTGACGCCAACGATGGGGCGCTATTCCCCCCCCCCACTGACGCCAACGATGGGGCGCTATTCCCCCCCCCCCCCCCCCCACTGACGCCAACGATGGGGCGCTATTCCCCCCCCCCCCCCCCCCCACTGACGCCAACGATGGGGCGCTATTCCCCCCCCCCCCCCACTGACGCCAACGATGGGGCGCTATTCCCCCCCCCCCCCCACTGACGCCAACGATGGGGCGCTATTCCCCCCCCCCCCCCACTGACGCCAACGATGGGGCGCTATTCCCCCCC